ATGGACAAAATTATTCTCAAGCTGCTGATATTTATTCGTTCGGGATGATCATGTGGGAAATCTTGTATGGGGTAACTGTATCTTATTATATTGATAAATCAAAAAATGAAACCAATCTTCAATTTCAAATATGTTGCGAAGATTTACGGCCACCTGTTAATGAAGAAGCAAATTCGTGTTACGTGAAGTTGATGAGAGAATGTTGGAGCAAGGAACCGAAAAATCGGCCATCAGCAGAAAAACTCCGTGAAATTTTTAAAAAATGGCAAGATGATGAAAACATCTTATTGGAATTGAACAAATCTAAAATAAAACTTGAAAGCATTGAAAAATCTTATGCTGATCTGGTTAGTAAAGGAAGTAAATTTCATCCTTCCACCAAATCAATTCTTGATAGTGGATTACAAAGTCTGACCATTGATGATTAAAATAATTCAAACTAAAAATTATATGGCAAAATATATTCAGATTTTATGTCTATGTTAGCGTCAAATTTACTAAATTCTAAAAAAATATATATTATATTTTTAATAAAACATGTAGTTGAATTAAATTTATAAATTATTTTTAAAATAATCATCTAGCTAAAATAGTAAGGTTGTAATATTCAAATTATGATATTTAGGTATATTATGTTGATTTTACCTGAAATTCCGAAAGCCATTTTCCCGAAAGAGCGCGATACTGACTAGTTGCCAGCATTATAACTAATGCTGGCTAACTTTGTCAGTGTTATAACAGGGTTTAAATCACCAGCCTAATAAATTTCGCTAGCAAATCAGATTTCGAAATCAGGTGTAACGTGAAAAAAGTTCAAGGAACAAAAATAAGTCAAAAATCGCCCATAACTCGAAATTTTACCTATGCAACTGCCTTCTGTATACTAATAAAAAGTTTTCCTTGCAAAATTTTGGTATAACTATGACCCTCTAAATCCAACTCATAGCGATACCCTAAACCTAACCTAAGAGCGAAATGTTTTTTTTCTTAGCGAAATTTTTTTAATGGGATCACATAATAGCGAAATTTTTTAGACTGGCATTGCTAGTCTCATACAGTGTTATCTCTTTTTCGAGAATTTGCCTTTTGGGTAGGGCTATAGAATTACCGTAATTTTACGTAATTTTATATTATTTATGTAAACTTGGTAAGGTAATTTGTAAGAAACGGGATCATGATTAATGTGATTGGTTGGATCATATGCGTGTTGAATCCATTGTAATTCAGCTGAGTTTTTCATAATGCTGGCACTTTATATCACGTATGAAATTTACGTGAAATCCATGTTACTAAAACATACGCAAGATTACATGAAATGTAAAATTGTAAAATGTAATTTCCAACTCTACTATCGGATTTTGGGGTAGAACCACAATTTTTGTGGTTGTTTTAGTTGTGCTAGAGTCACTTTCGAATTTTGGCAATTAAATTAACGTACAACGTACGTAGCTTTAAAATTGTAATCTGTATAATTCTATCGCGATAAAGTATTGAATTAAAAAAGTTTTTTATATTTATATTAATTATCGCATTTACGTTACGGTTAGTCCATTGTTAATAGAAAAAAAAAACACTAAGCTAGTTCAAGGAATCAATGTTAAGCTTGTATGTTATCGAACACACTACAAAAAAAAAAAATAAATAAAAAGGGAATTGCTTCTACATACCTTTTATTCTCAAAGTTTTTTTTTGTTAATTGTTAATTCGGTTTACACTCTCTCCATTGTGCAAATAATTTGATCTACTCGATAAATTTTGTTAGTAACTTTGTTTTTTAAATATTTGATCGGTTTGTATAAATTTAGACTCATTTTTTTCCTATGAATGCACACCATTATAGTTGCATGTTCCCCGATACCATATATTTATAGAGTCGACTGTACTTTTTTTTTTACTTGACAAATAGCTATTTGATCGTAGTCATTTGTTCTATTAGACATTTACCAGGAATTCTTTGGATAATGATCACATTTTAAACAATCATTACGTCTTTTACTTTTTCATTTATTTATATGAAAGCACTAGCTAATGTAAATCAATTACCCGTGTAAATTTTCGCAGATGAATGTCATTAAAGTAAAATCTGTAATCAGGGTTAGAGTTAATATCTCAATCCGGATTTATTACTATATCATATGATATAATACAACAAAGTATTCTTAAATCCGGATATATTATATCCAAATTTTTTATAATAAAACGGATTGAAGTATTAACTCTAATCGGGGTTTAATTGTGTTTGTTCTGGATTCCAGACTACCTAATGTATAAAACAAGATTGGTATTTGAAACGAAAGTTCAAGAAGTTGACTTAGCATTCCGAAAGAGGTAAAAAAAAAAAAGTTCTTAGGTTTTAACATTCATAAAAATAAATAGTCTTTATTTTAGAAGTTAAATTTTCAAGCTAGCTATTTTAGGCAAGCTTGTTTGTGTGAAAGATTTAAATAAAGTGAAGGTCTAAATTTTAGTTAAGGAAAGAGGTTGACCATTTTTTTAAATATCTTGTATTAATTAGTTAGCTGGTATATCTGAAACATTATTTCAAATAAATTTTAGATTTGTCATTGAACAAATTATTTGTTAAATTATTTGATATTGAATTACTTTTAGTTCCATGAAATTGTATTCTAGGAATTCTAAACCTTTAAACGAGAATATCTATAAGATAAATTTTTTCTGGATAAAAGTAATACTGTATAAGTTCTTTGAGATCATGCTATAACAAATTTACACGTATATACGAACAATATACATCTCTAATTAACATAATAAAGTAACAAAAATGCCAGAAATTGCACAAGGAAATTTAATAATCATACTATTACATTTGTTTCTAAGCGATAAAATTCTTACAGTATTATATAATGTTTAGTTTTTCTCATTAAACTAAACAATATCTATTTATGTCTAAACTAAAATAAATTTTTTCAAACAAACCCTTTTTTTTCTTAATAATAATCATGTATTCAGTTCAAGTTGACGTACTTGTACTTCTAATTAAAATCGTATTGTATCCGAAAATTATCAATCATGGTTGAAGATCAGGTGTAACGTAACACTAAGATATGATAATCGTTTTTTTTGCTAAAAAACAAAAGCTGCATAAGAAACCATCTTTAGTGATCTAACAAAAAGTTTTTCTTAAGCTATTTTACTATGTATTTTGTTAACAGTAAACTCTAAAATAACCGCTAACCTCAATATTTACAAACTTTTAAGAAATTTGTTACCGAAAAATTTTTGGTGTTGGGATATGGCATATCGTAAATGTGTGCAAGATTGACGGCGAAGACTAAATTATTAATTCAGTAAGGTTAGGGTTAAGGTCAAAGTTAGGATCTAGAGGGGGATAATTTATATAGCAAAATTGGTCAATGAAAATTTTTTGTTAGAGCACAAAAGATGGTTTCTTCTATTGATTTTTGAGCGATAAGCAATTTTTGGTAGAACAAACGTTTGTCCTGATCGTGTTACGTTACACCTAATCGTGAAATCGAATTCGTAACAATATACGGTATAATTGGTTTCACATATCGTGCAATGCGAAGTTTAATGATGGGAATGTAATATTAGGGTTAATACGTAGTAGTATATTACTGTATTAGTAAAAGCGATGATATAAGCGCGCATGATAAAAATTAAATAAATAGAGGTTCAATGTTTGAGATCTAACCAATACATTTAATTTTCGTTGAATAAAACTAATACCTTGAAGATAACGTTGTGGTGCCCCGCATAATGAAGGTGGAGAAATCGGTATAAGGCAGAGAGTGGTAAAAGGAACGAAGAGAAAAGTAGAACTCATAAAGCGAGAGTATTTCAAACAATCTCTGCGAACTAGACATTTTATTGTGACAAACCTAATTTACCTCACGAAGTATTGAGGTGTTCAGTTAACTATGTAAATCAAACCTATATATATTTTAATAGTGAAGAATGACTTGCTTACTTTAGATGTCTAGAGCAAATCATATATTTTCAAACATGTTTATAATAATATTACGTTAAAAAATTTCATGTTTTAGTATTAAATTTTCACCTGCAACAAAAATAGCTTTCTTTTGAATAGTACATGATATGAAAGAGAATCTTTGTAAATAGTCAACTTTCAACATAACTTTGTTATAATCGTGTATAAAAATAAATTTGTACTAAAATAATTGAAAAAAAGTAAAGCAATCCGCTCTAGACATCTAAAAACATGCGATTCATTCTTTACTACTAATATATATAAAGTGATAAAGAATCTGCTCACTGTCTTAACCACTACTGATTACTAAATTTTTTTTAAAAAAATTTAATTTTAAAAAAATGCAATAATTAATTGTCATATGGTACTACATATAGTTTTATTTACAACACTCGACGACATATGGTTCAAATAACATCGGTGATAGTGCAGATAAAATACAAATATGAAATATTTACACAAAGTTTTGTTATGTAATCTGCTTTTTTTTTGCTGCAATTTTAAGAATTATATCTGTAAGTATTGTATATGTATAGATACACAAAATGTCTTGGGTTCCGCTCACGTGATATATATCCAATCAGAGTTTAAATTAATATAACAGATCGACACGGATCAGCCCGACAAAATGGAAAATCTCGTAAAATTAAAAGCTTCGGACATTAACATCTGTTTAATTTTTATATATAATAGTTCCATTTACCTTCTCATATTAAACTTCATCGTGTAACATTTCGAGTTCAAAATATGTAACAGAGATGAGTTACCGTTACATTAAAGAATATATTTATCAAGTTCATTTAGGCTCTAAATGCGTTAAATGAGTTGTCAATCCCTTTACATTCTGGATAATAAAAAAACATTTGTTTTTTTTATGCTAAGAGCTATACGTAAATATGAATCTATGGAATATAAGTGCAATAGGATTTTTTTTAATATTCTTATTCAGCTTATCAAAAATGTCGACAGAAACCAACGGTCATAATAGTACACAAATTTTAACCAAAAAAAAAAACTTGAAAATAAGATAATGCCCTATATTTCAATTAAAAAAAGAATTTCCGAAATTTTATACAAGCAAAAAGTTCATGCCATCTCCGTTGATTACGATATAGGTTCTAAACAATCAGTTCTTGAAGATCCTTATTGTTCTAATGGCTTTGTTGCTGCAATATTTCATGCCTATAATCATCATCAACATTTACGTTTAAGTCCTGATGATATTTGGCTTACAATTTCTCAAGGTGTTAGTCGTCATATTAATTTTAATGCTGAAAAGTTTCGTAACAAGTTCGTTCAACATGAAGGAAAAGAAAATATAAAAATCTTTTGTCCTGATATTTTATACGAAAATTCAAATAAAGGTACCCTTGAAGGTAATTGGCCAGAAGCTATAAACAGACTTGTTAAAGAAACTGATAAACGTGTGAAAATCGACCTCGCACAATTATTAGAATGCAATTTCTCAACGACAACTTCAATTTCTTTAATAGCAAGTCGCATCGTATTATTAGATATGGTTAAAGCCTACTTCAATTATATAATTGAGCTCCTTTGTGGCATTCCAAAAGTTACACTTGAAGGTACACTTGAAGATTGGATAAAACTTCAAGAAAAAGTTATTAAACTAAGAAATTTAAATTTAGAATTAGACTTTTGGTTGGATCGTCTGGAACCAGTGATTTGGAAATTAATATATACTTATCGTGGTAAAGTTGATGAAGACTTTTGGAGTAAGATTATTCGTATAGAAAGTCATGGTTCTGGTGATGTTGAAATTACAGGATGGATTACAGCTTTCTTTCCTTATGATAGTGCAGGAAATGCTTTACATTCAAATTTTTTAGAACGTGATACTATCCCAAATGGCATAATAGAAGTTCCATTTATTACCGATACCGGATTAAATTTAAAATTTGTAGCTGGATTTATTGGTGCTAATCAGGAAATTCTTGAAAATTCGGATGGTGAATCTATTGTATCTCCTGTGATTGGATGGGCTGTTATTGATGATGTGGATAAGGATTCTAAATCACCAAAGAACACTCTTGAGACTGAAACTAAACAAAAAGTATCACATCATGAACTTTGAAGGACCATAAATTTTATGTTAATTTACATAAATAATATTTATATAAAATGCCTTAATAGAAAATAAATATTATTTACTACAGAAAACAAATCAAAATTGATAAAAAACAAGTCGATTATTTTATATCTTATATAACCCATAAAAAAACATCACGTTAGTTATATTAGAATTTGACGTTTTCATCTGTTCTGTTATTACAATCAATTTTGATGCATCAAGTATTCATGTAATTGAATTATTTTATCCAAATTCCTTTATATTATATTTAGGCTAAACAGAATTGGATTTTTAAATTATATAAGAATTACTGTTTTTTCTTTTATACATTAATAAAGACTATAGGAGAATAATATTAAAACTCACATTAAGTAGTTGCTTAAGAAGTAGAGATGGGCAAGGTAATTACTTGTTACGCTAAAAGTAAAATCACACTATGCGATAATTTAGCACGTTATTAGTTGTAAGGTATATATTATTAGTAAATTGTCGCATAATGTGATTTAATTTTTTACGTAATAAGTAACTATCTTGCCTAGAGACTGGACTCGAGTCAACTCGTAGCTTAACAAACATAGTCTTTAGTTAATTCGAACTAAGACTATGTTTTTTAAGCTACGAGTTGATTCGAGTCCAGTCTCTAACCTTGCCATCTCTATTAAGAAAACGCTAGTCGTTTCTAATGATGAATCAATCAAGCATTTTTCTAATTAATGAACAACAAACTTTATAATGAATGATGTATATGACTTTTATTCATAGGGCGTTCTCAAGACCTAACCTCGACGTGATTAGCTCATTATTGTAATCGAGCACAGCTATAATTATATTTTTAATAACAAATCGAATAAGCAAATTAAGAACTAATCAAAGTTTGCACAAACGTTATTCTCTATGTGATTAGCTAATAAACGTGACGATCATCACTTTACTATAGTCAATCAAAATAAGATATTTAATTGATACTTGAGCGATCCTACCAGGAACGTGTACCAGGAACGGAGTGAAACGAAGTGTACCAGGAACGTGTACCAGAAACGGAGTTTGTACAACGTACAACGTACAACGTAGAGCATGGTTTACGGTGATTTTATTCGGTTAACCCTTTTATAAAAATTGCGTCAAACAAATCAAACACGTTTATTATATAAAATTTAACTAAGCCGCATTTGTATTACTTATGCGTAAAATAAGTTTCTTATACCAGGAACGGAGTGATGAATCACGAAGTGTATGACTTATAAGGTGCAATAAGTGGTTGGTGTGCGCGAAATCTTAAGTTTGATTGGTCCGCATGACTTATTCATCAAATTTTGGTTATTTTTCACACATGAATTCATCACGCATATAGATCAACGGATATACACGTGCATTCGGATACGTAATTACAGAGTATAACTTGAATACAAAAAAATGCAAATGTAAACGATGTTGTAGTTGTGATAACTAACGATAGTAAAAAAGGAATTTCAGACGCAAAAATTGGTAACCCGGTGCAAATTAATTTGCATATTTACCTGATAGTTGGCATTTTTTGGTTTTTTTTTTCGTAGGATTTTTTATCATGATAATCGCTGATCGTCAAAGACGATAGAAATTTGGTTTTTGGATCATCTGAATTAAGGGATATTCGTAACGATTTATAACTGATTTAAAATATTACGTGGCTTTGTGATTAGTATTCCGAATAGTAGTAGTGTATGGTTTAGTAAAGTAGTGGAGTATACTGTAAAATCGCATTTGAGTGTATAAAATTAGCGTACTGTACTCTAGTCTGGAAGAACACTATCGACTATGGGTGGAAGGGAACTGATATTTTCAATCGATTGAAGACCTGAAAAAGACATCATCGAAAGAATGTAAGTTACTCTAATAATTATTATCATTTGGAGGTCTAAAAAGAGCATCTTTTTGATTATCGAGTGTGATCTGGAAAAACATAAATTGCATTAATGCTCGCCATCATTTGAAGGTCTAAAAAAAGCATCGTTTTGATATCGGCTATGATCTGAAAGAACGTTACTGATTATGATTGGAAGAACGTAAATTACACTAATGTCTGTTGTTATTTGAAGGTCTAAAAAATGCATTTATGTAACATTTGTTTAGAACTTTGGCATTCGTTGAAACTGATTTTTTTAAAAAAAGATTTAGAATGCTGTACTATGTACATGTCTTTGTAAAGAAATGTAAATTAATGTTCATTTGATTTGTACAATTTAATTCAAAAACTACAAGTTTTGACATCGAATATCTTCATATATAGGCTTGGTGCTACAGAAAAGGGGGAAATTGACAAAAAAAAAAGATCTTCAGAAAATCAATTTTTATGTTATAAATTTTATAATAAATTATAAGAAAATACAAATTTTAAAAAGCTATTCTGCAAGATTTTATTAAGACAATTGTTTTTGTATTTTAAGTGAAAAATAATTCTGATCTTATTCTAAATTGATTTATACAAAAAAATAAGTTTTAAAAAATTTGTTGATTTCTCCCTTTTCTGTAGCACCAAGCCCATATCATATACTCATACTTATGTTTATTATTCAATATTTTATCAAGTCGTTACATTTTTCAAACAATTTCAGAAATTGCAATTAAATGGCTTTCTATGACTTCACCACCAATCGATTTATTGGATTCTGAATAGTTGCAATTAATTGCCCTCACAATCAATTATTTGGTAGACCTGACTCTAAAGGTAAATTTGATTAATAAATAATAATCTTGATCAATTTTAAAGTAAATGGTAAATGTGAATTAAATTGTTCAAATGATATTGAATTATTAAGTATGCAAAATCTTCATGTTATAACCTCGATTATCTAAATTTAAAATTTCAAAGTTCATAAACCCATTATAGTAAACTTTCGATCATGGACCGAATTAACATAAATAAATAATTAAAACGAAGTTATAAAAGGCTATAGAGTTCTAAAAGTATACTCATGAGTTAAATAATGAAAAGAACCAGTATCAAATACAGCTTACCTTTGTCAGAATGAACTTTTGATATATAATTAATTATATAATATTTTTAAGTCTAGCATTCTGAGCCTATAGGTGTAATGGGAATTTCACTGTAGTGTAAATATGTCATTTTTTTTGTATTCTAAATATGAGCCATCTTTATTCTTTATTGGCATATGAATAATAGCATATGTGTACAGTTAACTTTCATAATGAACTAACAGTTATTATAATAAAAATTTTTATGTTCTTTATAGAAGTAGTTTGTTATTTCTGATGTGAGTTCTAATAAATGTTTTTTATTATATTGTTATTCCACTAATCTAAATTCTACATAACTTTTAAACTTATTAATTTGGAACAAAAATTTATAATATTAATAGTTTATAATTTATTTATATTAGATTATAAATAAAACATTTTAACATAATTATCTTAAAAAATTCATTTGTAAACCAATGTTGTACATGATTGCATGAGCTTACTAGAAGTATATAAAACTGTTCTAACTACATTGTAGAAATACAGTGCCAAATTCTTTTTTACTAATTATTTGAATATTAACAAAACTATTAAAAAAATTCTATTTGATTGCACCTACATGTTTTGTTTTGTAGTTTTAAGTTGAAATTTCTTAATACATTTGTCAATATCACTATTTTTACTTGTTATTTCTTATATTGACTTTTGAAGGTCACATATTTGACACCAAGTATAAGATGTGTTATATCACTTGCAATTTGTACATGTCTTATTATTTATATCTTTTTTATTATAAAATTTATTAAATACTAACTTATACTTATTATTTGTATTGTTTTAAGTTAATCTATATACTTTAAGAAGGTGTGATGATCTAGTAAAGTGGATTGGTTGTCAACCTCTAAGTAGCAGATCTAGAGTTCAAATTCTAGTAATAGAAAAATTTGCAATTCTTTCTGTATTACAGTTAACTGTTTTCTAAAATTGGTTAAAATCAGATACCTATGACATATTAGTATAACTGAAAGGTTCAGGCATTTGTACAATCTTGTATAAAGGAACGCAAACTAGTACTAAGCAGTGTGAACTTGTGATAAGCCCTTGGCCTGTGTAAATTACAAAAACCAAGAAGATAGAAGCCTATTTAAAAGATCCAAGTAGAGAGTTAACCCAAGTTTTTGATAGTATTATTGTAAAAATTAGATCTATAAAATAAAGCTAAAACTTATAAAACTGGGCAAAGAGCCAGTCTTTGAAAAGGAATTGAATTGAAACAGCCATGCTGCCAGACTAATATAATAGAAAAAAAGATTACATGTTAGAAAATTATATAAATTAGAAGTATAGTTATACATATCTACCTTTCAAGACTATCTGGTCTAGAAGCTTGATAGAACTTGAATTGAACACCAAAATAGTAAAGATATATAGTAAAGTAAGTATCAAATTGGAATGAACTTTACAAGAACATAGCAGTTTAATAGTATGCATTGACTGCAAGTGTTGGTCTTAGCTATAATATTACTGAATCAGTTATAAAAATAGAATACAGAAGATTTCAGAAGATTTAGTACAAGGTTAAAAATTCTTTATGTAAGTAAAATGCTTTAAAGATTTAATAATCATAGTATATTTTTATCAGCATTGGTTGGAGTTATTGGTAAACAGAGGTAGATTAGTGAATATAAGAACTAAGTATTTAAATAGTGAACTTACAAGTAGGTTTCAGATATAACAACTAGTATAGAACCTTTAGACAAATTACTTAAATTAAAAAATAACTAAAGTTGTATAAGTAGCTAATTATATACTTTTTTCATAATTGCCCTCTGTAGTTGTTATGCAACTATTAGCAAATATACTATCAATAAAATTCTGGGTTGCAAGTACTTTTCTTAATATTTAAAATAATAAAAATCTATATATTTTAAGATCATTATATATTAAAGTTATATATATAATATAATAATAATTTATTAATATTTTGGTTTATTTCTTTTAATATATTTAATATACTTTGTGTTTTATTTAATATTTTAAACTTCACT